CCAGATCGGAATAAAACTGCACCAGGAGAGAAAACCAGTTGGTAAGTCTAATTTTCACGTCAACAACATTGACAGTTCAGACACACAAACAGCGGCGTGAGTCAAAACCACGTACCCTGGCCTCTGTACACGAATAGGGCGCTCCAAGATTCACATGGTTCATACACAATTCTTAAAAGAATTCAAGGCATTGCAACAACGTGGGAGACGTATTCCCATCCATGTTCAAGAGAAAGTGGGAAATGAAATTCGATCACTAATTCACCAAAGGCATATAATCCGCCTGGAGAAATGCAGCGACCACCAATTCATAAGCCCTATTGTAATAACGGTAAAGAAAGATCAATCAATAAAACTGGCAACGGATTCGAAACAAATCAACAAATCTATCCACAAAAAGAAATAACAAATGCCTAACATCGAGGTTTTATTAGATAATATAGCACAGTCGGCTCAGGAAGGAACAAACAAACCGGGGACCACGTATTTTTCAACACTAGATTTACGTTATGCGTATAGTCAACTGCCACTCGATGAAACAACACGAATGCAGTGTAATTTCAGTATTATTGGGGTAAAGCTACCGGAACCTACCAGTTCCAAATAGGTTTTTACGGACTCACCGACGTGCCCGCGGAGTTTCAGAAGGCCATTGATCACCCTCAATAATGAAAAAGACACGTTTGCATTTTTAGATGATATCCTGATTATCTCACACGGTACCAAGAACAACACATAGATAAACTAACGAAAATTCTCAACAAATTAGATGTCGAAAACATGGCCATTTCCATCGACAAATGTAAATTTGGGTGCAAAGAAGTAGAGTGGCTAGGCTTCGTAATTGATTAATATGGAATAACGCCTATGCAAAAGAAAACCGATGCTATAGTAAACTTACACCACCCAAAAACTTTTAAACAACTCAAAAATTTTATGGGATCTGTTCATCATTTGAACAAGTTCATACCTAATCTGGCTCAATTATGCACTCCGCTACAACCTCTACTGTCCGCAACCAACAAATTTAATTTTGTATGGAAGGAGGAACATGAAAAAGCGTTCCGTAAGATACTAGTGTCGGTTCAAAATATTACGGAAAATAGACATTTCGTAAGCAACAGAGAAACACGAATTGGTTGTGACGCCAGCCGCGAGGGACTAGGCGCGGCACTCGAACAAGAAACACCAGATGGATGGGCAACCATTGCGTACGCATCGCGGTTTTTGAAGACGTGTGAACAAAAATATTCAGTTAATGAGCTCGAGCTATTAGCCGCAGTATGGGCTATCGAACATTTTAAGTAGTACCTCTATGGTAGACGGTTCACTTTAATCACAGATCACCAAGCATTGGTAAGTGCCCTACAAAGTAATAGAGGTAATAAAACCTATCAAAACCGGTTAACTAGATAAATCGATAGGCTCATTCAGTTTGATTTTGATATACGCCACCTTGCAGGCAGTAAAATGGGTCTCATTGATTACATTTCACGACATTTCACAACCCCCGGCATATTGGGACGAACAATTTGTCGTCGCGTTAATCGACGATTTCGTCACATGCTTAGAATTTCAAGACAGCAGCAACCAAAACATCTCTTTGAACAAAAATCCAATTGGATATCTAGGCACCAGAAAGCTCAACCGGAACAAGAACGGTAAAATTTCAAATTCTGTTCACACACAAACTGCATTCACTGTTAGTAGTCAATGGTTTCAAAACAGTCGCTCTAACAAACCGATTTCACATTCAAGTATAAACAATAGCAAAAAATCAGAAATGAGCCGGCATTTACAACAGGGCATGGCTTTGCCCCTTTCAAACGCCTCACAAGAAAATGCCACAGCGGCTCTCAAACGCAACTTACGTTTGTTCCCATTAATTACGCCACGTTTAATGACTAACTACACAAACCGCCACCGCCAGAACTTACAATTAGTGACGTTACCCATCAAGTCGTCCCATCGGAGGAGAGCTATACTTTTTGGAGGATCGAGAACGAAAAAGTTAATGCCATCTGTCAAACAATTCCAGAAGAGACGACCACATCAGAATGCCAGACAACCACGGTGGAGGAGGAAGACACGCCCTTGTTTCGTAAGAACCTTAGAAAAGTCATGGAAATTGAATTTTTGGCAGCGGCTTCGCGACGTGACCGGAATCTCTCACCATTGATCAACATGATCAAGCAACAAAAATGGGACAGTGTGAAACAGTGCTATGGCCCCTACTTCTACAACGTACGTCACCGATTGTCAGTTAGGGACGGTATTTTGTTATATGACGATAGGGTCGTTATCCCAAAACAGTTACGACCAACGATGATGGACGCCTTACATCTAACCCACCCAGGGCAAGGCGGCATGATCGAAGCGGCTAAACATTTGTGGTATCCCTACTTGCATCGGGATATTGTGGCCACCGCACAAAATTGTAAAAACTGCCGCAAAAAAGGTAAGAATCTTAAGGTCATATCAGGGAAAACGCATTATACGACATTTTACGCTGTCGTGGAGCCGAACGAAGAAATCAAGCTGGATTTTGCGGGCCTATTACCGGATGAAAATGATAAAGAAGTCTATATCTTAGTTGGCGTAGAACGTTTCTCCCGTTTCCCATACGCAAAATTGGTTTCAAATAACAGAGCTGATACAATCATCCGATTTATGCAAAACCATATCGTAAATCATGGGGTTCCCCGTAACATCAGATGTGACCAGGCACAAGGTTTTCGGGCCAAAAATTTTTTAATAGATTGTAAAACTAATAATGTCAAGCTAATATTCGCACCAAAGCTAACCGGAGCCCCGTAACCAACAAGACGCAATTACGCTGGAGAGCAGCGATGACGAGTATGATGAACAACTCCTCATAAAATTCCCGATAGGTGCTCATTTGCCTCTTTCAAACAAACCTTACGACGCATTAAAACTCAAACGATCATTTCTAATGGACAAATCTAATAACCTTCAGTCTTTAAGAACGCGCAAACCGATAAGATCGCTCACCAATTAGGAAAAACAAAATCTACAAAGGGCACCCCTAGTCTTTTTAAAAGACCGATTTAAAGTTCCCGCGCACACAATTGACCCTAAAACGGGACGTCGATTAGAACAGGTAGCTCGAAAATCGATAACAATCGCACGGAAAAATAAAAACCCGGGCAAGTTTGGGGCACAATTCAAAATTATTGAAAATGGTTATGTCCAAAATTACTCTCCACATACCGCGTGGATAAGAGAGGATGGAAAACAACCACGGGTAGTTCGACACGACGGTTTAGCGTTTATTCCGGATCCAAGGGTCTACGGAAAGTGTACGCCGGCAGCTCTAAAGGGTTTTGTGGCATATAAGCATCTACCTCGAGCAAAACCACGTGTTTCAGGAGAGAATACCACGAAACCCTTTTCTGCCACTGAGGACACACAAGTTACATCAGTCCAACGCGCTCACCTCCGAAAACGATCCAACACGTCCTTCAACAAACGCTAAATAGAAAAGCCGTGGGACCGCAAAAGCTGTTCAGTATTTTCAACAACAAATCGAAGTTCGCACAACGCGCAAAACAACAAAACAAAAACTCCAAACCACAACAACGCCCAAAACCATCAGGAAAATTGAGTCCTCAGAAAAAACCGAAAGTAGATCTATCAAAGGTCCAATTCGAGTGCGACACGTCCATTTCACTTTCGTCAGATACAGACGTGAACGAGAAAACACCATCACCTGATAAACCGGCCGCTAAACGGATTGGCATAAAGGCCACACCGGAGCAAAAGTCATCCGAAATGCGACGATCGTCCAGACAAAGGAAAAGTGCACTGGCCACCAAACTCGGAGACGCTATACCAATTGCGCAAATTGCAGAAACTCCTGTACGTTGCCTGGTAGCACACGTAGAGCTCACTACAGCCAACGTCAGCAGCCAAGATCAACCAATCGTAACCTCGCAAAACAACCAGAATTCGGTTCCCGAAACGCTCCCGTCACTCTGTTATTCCGAGGAAATAATATGTACAGAAATACATATGGAGACAGAAACCCCAGAAAACACGAGAAACGATAAGTTGGACAACAATACAACGGCGATGAAAACAACAAGCTCCCGATACATCTTGGACAAACCCAGGACAACCGAAGAATCCTTCAGCAAGGATTTCGAGGAGGCAATGAACATACTCCATGCCATTTCACCAGTACGAGGAATCTCTATGACTTTTCAACGAGAAAGAGAGAACACAACAGAACAAACCGCCTCACACACCGCAATACAAATGGAAAGAAGATACCAGTAGCACTGAAAAGGAAAGAGGAAATAAGTGAAGTATTCACTTAATCAAAAAGAGGGAAATGTTATCCGTACGGATATTATAGAAAAACATCCTTTACTAATGATCTAGATTTAGGTGCTAGAACTACCAGTTAGTAATGATTACATACTATAAGTATAACTGATTACTTAACACATATAGAAGTCTGATGTTTAAATATGTACCTATTTATACGTAATGACATATGTACTGGTTATTATGAAACACTGTCTCTCAATTGATTCGAGGTCAGTGTCAGCCAGACTTCAACATTGTTAGATGAATTTAAGTTGTTCTCTTAACAGTTCAATTCTCAGTTAGCGTTCAGCATAGACTCAGACGAATATAGATCATACCTCACCTACCAGATGAGGGAATAACATAAGTATTACCAGTTGCCGCCCTTCATTAAAACGAATCGTAGCTTGTTACGAATTGTCGTCTCATGGAGTTGTCGCTAAGCGACTATATCTATTGCTGATTATGCAAATGTAAATGTTTCTAAAGTTGCTTTTGCTTCCAGTGTATTAAAGGTATGTAAGAGAAGCCCACTTCATAAAATTGTTACTCAAAAGATGGAAAAAAGTTTGGCGTAATTTTTTGATGAAAACCAGTCATATTTAGGGTATCGTTTTTTGTTTCAAAGATACATACACATAAAAAATAACTTAAATACAGAAATTTACCTCGTTGGTGTTTTTCTAGGTGCCATTTTTTGCCAGCTGCGGTGTGATCTCTGCAAAATTTTGGATTGGATATGAACTGCGACAATTCAAAAAAAAGTTCCAGTCAAGCGACGTCTAGGATCAATAAAATCGGCGAACAATCAGTTTTCTCTTTGAGGCGGAAATTGGTGTTTAAAGGAGCAAGCGAAATTGATTGGAACAAACAAAGTGATAACAGGCAGACTTGTTTGTTTAATTAAAAGTAAATAAAGACGTCGGGAGGGCTATAATCAAGATTGAAGTAGAGCTCGAGCATCAATCAAAACGTTTGATCGGGCAAGGAAATTAGTAGAGTTGTTAGCAACGAACTCAAGATCAAGAGCACTCAAAGTGAATGGTACAAATGAGCAAAATCATTATTTTCTGAGGGAAAAGTTCAGTAGCCATAGGCAAATAAGAGGTTCGAAGTATTGTCAATCAAGATACTTGGTAAACAGTTTTTGGTTCTGAGAAAATGAGAAAATTTTTTGGCTTCGTGGCAAGGAGTGTTTTGTGCTCTGAAGCTTGTTAAGAAATTGTAGCCAAGATAGCGCATGCCAATTGAGTCTGATCGCCAGTGGCTTTTAAGAATATCTAGCAAGTTGGATGGAATATATTTGTTTTCCTAATAAGTGAAGAAAGCTTACCTAGATGGTATTGAGAGAAAAGGGTCTCCATTGATGGGTTTTACGGAAATTCTAGACTGTTTCTGTGTGGATATATTTCTTCTTTGGATAGGTTGTTCTGGAAGCTTCATAGAAATGCAGACTTGTCAAAAGTGTCTCTGATTTTTTTTATGTGTATTATTGTTTCTGACGTCTAATTGAGGCATATTTTAAAATTTTTGAAGTCCTCATGCATCTTCAATTTACTAAGCCACTCAATCTCCTGGTGTTTCAAATTCCATCAAATTTTAAAAATAACTTCCTGCAAAATTATTAAAAATCAACCATTTTCGAAAAATTAGTTTCGCAAAAATCTTTGCAAGGCATACTTATCTAAAAATTATAAAAGTGGCCTCGCAAGCAATTGCTTAAACTGGTTGAAAAATTATCTTTGCAACCGAATACAGCAGGTATAAGTTAATGGAATGAGCTCTGATTGGAATGAAATTGACTGCGGTGTTCCACAAGGATCAATTTTAATGAACTTCCTTTGAGTTGTAGATCGGTAGAAATTTTTTTGCAGAGGATACAAATTTAACTGCTATAGAATGCACTGTCGAAAAGGTTAAATCCGACCTAACAGTTTTGAATACATGGTTGATAGCAAATAAGTTAGTAATCAATATATCTAAAACAGTTCAATTGAACGTTAAACCAAGTGCTTCCAATTGTGATTTCAGTTTGAATTCCTGTCAAATAAAAGTTAAATCCAAATGCAATTATTTGTGCTTTCATTTAAAATGTAAACTCTTGTTTATCAGTCACAAAGATTTTGTTAAATTGAAACTTGGAAAACAATGTGGTCTAATATCAAAGCTAAGACATTTTTTACTAAGTGGTCTATTATTGGACTACTACAGCAGTCATGTAGTCCCTATTCTTCAGTATGGCATTTTGGTTTACAGGTGCCGTAGCTTTTCAGTTTTAAACCCAATTTTTGTTATGCAGAAGAAAATTTTGATTTTTTTTTTCAGAAAACAGCAAGATCAATGCGAAGATTTTTTCGGGAGAAATAAATTGCTGACAGTTTATCAGTACCATATCTCTGAGCTTTTGAAATTCCTCCTAAAGTTTTCAAACAAAATGCACTGCAAGTCATTAATCGAAACGTTTAGATTTTAAACTTATCAAAAATTAACAATATCTTGTTCGAGATTACTTGTGGAACGTTTTTGCAAACGAAAAGTTGAAAGACTCTCGATACGGTATGGAGAGTGCTAATTGTTTAACAAATTAAAAACCTTAGACTTATTGCGCGCTGAAATTGAAAAAAGTTCTTCATTTTCTACTTATTTATAGAGAAGTATCAGAATTTTACCACAAGTTCAAAGATCCTTTTTGAATTCAAAGTTGTGCTCTGGTTAAATATATTTATGAATTGTTAAAAGTTAAAAGTTTGAATCCATTAGTTAAAAGCGGCTGGGCATTCCTCGGGGAAATAAGCATTTTTTGAGAAAATGACCGTCCATAACATTCAAGTTCTCAAAGAATTGCTATTTTAAAAACAAAAATTGAAATTTTTAATCAAACTTGAAAAAAAAACTTTGAAAAAAAAAAACTTTTCTGAATTTGATTATCGTGCAAACTAAACAATTAATTAAAGAAAACGTGCATGTAGCTTTTGTGGAGTCCTGTAGATCCTGTCACATTTACTCCGAAGCTTCAAAAAATCACATTAAAGGTTTCGAAAATTAAAAAAATACAATTGTTCAGTAAACAGGTTCTTCTATCTGCTTTTACTCATTAATACTGGCTGTTGTAACGTGATTTCATGTCTGGCTCTGCTTCAAATCTGTTCGTTGAAATATTTTATGACCTTTTATGACAGACGCTTGGTGGATCCTAGGTTCCTGATGTCTGTCCTCTCCAAGTCTCATTATCTAATGCTAAATAACTTTACGGAACATTTATTGGAGAGATGATTTCTTTCTTCCTTTCTTTCTGATAAAAGCTAAAACTTCTGCATATCATGAATATCAATGAGCCCGATGGAGAAATCCTACGACGTTAGTGTTCCCTAATTATTGAGACACTTTAGATCGCGTATTATTTCCCCTGTCATGGTAAAAATAGAGTGAGGATCTCCCATATAACCTCAAGCTCAGGTCTACCACAGCCTGACCGATTTCGGCTGAAATAGTGTTACCACGAAAGTTTTGGACGCACAAAAACGACCTTGAGGTGTAAAAATGAGTTTCGCTAAACAAAATAACTGTGGACTAGGGGAAATGATAGAAGCGGACTGTGCTTAGACGGGCCTGATTGCCTTTCAAAGACACTCGAGACCTCTCCGAAGCACAAGTTTGATAAAAAAGTTTGATTAAAAACCAGTGAGTGAGACTGACTTTCTGACTTCCCTACTTGCTTTGTTTGACATGCGTCTAATTTCTCTTAAAGACAGCTTTGAGCTCAACGATGGAGTGGTTCTGCAAGTTAAAGAGAATGTTCCGATCGCCATAATAAAGTTGAAAAATTCAAAAATGAGAAAAAAATCGAATTATATCCGATTTTCTTCTTATTGATAGTGAACGGCAATTAAATTTGGTAAAAACTACCGAATTAGAACTTTATGGCTGAATCACTGTTAAAGTTAAAGTGAAATTCAGTTGAGTTGCCGGTGTTACCAAAATTAGTCTGGAAAGGGGAAAACTTGATTTTTTTGAAATGCAATTTTTAGTTCATATGTCTTGAATGCTTCGTTTTAGAAATACTTCTGTATATTTTTCTAATATTTTCTTGCAGTTTTCTAAGCTTTTTGTCTAACGAGATGTCTGTCTAAACTTTGGCCGGAATACCGAATTTGAAAATGTTGAAATTCATCTAGTTTTGAATCAGTTTGATTTTTTCGATGTAAAAAAAACTAAAAGAGCTCTATCAAACAACTATTGCGCAGTTTTTGAACTCTTTTTTTGTTAACTCTATCATTTCAATAACAAACAAGGATTTTATCCTTAAATTTTTCTTGGAAATATGTTAACCTTGTTTTTTTTGACGAGAAAAGTTGAACTGGCTTCACTAAATTTGATTGCGTCCCAAAGTCTTGTTGTTATTGAAACAAACGGTTTCTCAAATTGAAGTTATTTTTACCCCGATCATAAATCATTTGTTGGCTAATTAATTTTTCACGGCTATAGAACTCCAAATTAATTCGAAATGCCATGCCATTGCGGTTTCACGAAATCAAATTAGGTAATCATGATAGTCAAAGCTCACTTTTTTAAAGTAATAAATGCAGAAATTTCAGGGATTTGCTAAGTTATTTTAGAAGCTGTCATAAACAAGAGTAGCCGTGCAATAAGTACCAAAGTTTTTATCCTTGGTTGTAATCAAAAGTTGAAAAAATTATAAAAAATTATAAAAATTATCCTAATGATGGCAAGTTTTTTTAAATTCGAGCGCTGGAAATTGGAAGAAGACTTATGCAATATTGCAAGCTTTTTAAGCGATTTGACATAATTTTTTTTCATGATGGCTGTCAAATTTAAACTTAAAAAAGGTGAAATTTTAAAGGGTTGTTTATGCGATATTTCCAGTTGTAGTCAACGCAAGAAGCCAGTCGCGCTGCGAAAAATAGAACCAAAAGTTTTCACCTTGGTAATCATTACAGCCAATAAATATCGAAAACGTATAAGTGTTTAGAGTTTTTTCTCATTGAGTTTTTTGTTTCAAAAGTGAAGAAAGCTGCAGCCAAAACTCATATCTTCAAAAGTATGTTTACACTTGCGAGAGCATGTCTCTTGTAGTCGATAAGCTAGAATTTTTCCCCGTAAGCACATTTTCTTTTAAATCTGTAAGAATTTGAAGTTAAATGGTTAGTAAACCCTAAATTTTTCAAGAATCCTTCCCTCTTTGCCTAGAAGGAAAGCGGCTGTTTTTGTACCCTAAGGTTCTGGAGTTCGAGCCCTAGCCGGACCTTTTTCTTTTCATTATGTGGGAGATTGAAAACTGTCTTCAGGGAAAATTGAATTTGCGGTTTTTTGTTCGTCGGCTTAGTTGCCACATGGGGAGGGGATTTTTATGCTGTCAGAAATTTTCATGGTAGATGCTAGTGTTTTTGGCTTACTTCTGTATTTTGTTAAACTAATAGTCCGAAGTTTAACAAAATATATATTTTTGTTATAGGTTTTGTCTTTTTTCGCTGGCTGAAACACTGCGATTGCGTTGTATCGCAAGTGATGCGAGGTTTCGCTTCGCCTCTGTGTTTTTATTATTTTTGTCATGCAGCTTGAAGTTGATCATTGTTGAAATTAAGAGAATTTGTCCGCTCTTCGCCAACTGTTGAGCCTGGATTGGCAAAGACTAATTATCTCGATACTACTCAAGCTCCATTACAAAAATTCAATTGAATTAGAAAGCTAGACAGTTTTTTAATGCAGTTTTAAATATAATAGTTAGACGTCTTCGTCTATTTTTTGAAATCTAGTGTTTCGTTCTTTTGTTTTCCTCTAAAAATTGTTGAACAAAACTAACTAAACTGAAATATTCCAATTGAATATAGCTATCCCCTTTACTTTCAGGGATGATACGAGT